GACCTCTGTGAGTCATCTAGTCCAACCCTCCTGCCGAAGCAGGGTCACCTACAGTAGGTTGTAGAGCTGCGGAAAGCTGCGCAAATCACCGCCGGGCGTACTCTGAGCTGCAGATGGGGGAGGATTGAGAGGGGGTGTGGAGGTGTTTATGTAAAGTTCGAGGATTTGTAAATATTAGAAAATTGCAGTGGTTTGGTGCAGAAACAGTGTTCAAAGCAAGGGGCAGCAATGGGTGTGGTATTTGTTGAAGGCTATTAAAAAAAAACCACAGCCAGACCTAGAAGCCTGGGATTTTTTTAAACTGCGTTTCGGCTATAGCAGGGAGGGTCTAAACTCAGTACAGAGTCATCCAAGAGGTGCGATAGTTTGAGCCTGATTTCTGCTATTGCCTCACCAGCCTCCCCAAGGAGGGGAGAGAGCCCCACCGTCTGCTCTCCAAGTACAACTTCAGACAGGTGGGAGATGCTTACAAGAAGAGTGTGGAAGAAGGGGACATGGACAGTGTGCAGGAGTAAGCACGCTCTGGGACACAGTTGAAAGATGTTGATGCAGGTCTGCTCAATGATGTTCTACAGGAGAATGAGGATGGCAGCTGGGAGGATGGCACAGAAAGGCAAGCACTTTTTAAAAAATTTTGTTGTCACTCACAGGTTACACCAAAATGGGAAACCCTCTCACACCAGGCCTGTCAGGGATGAGAGAAAAGTCCGGAAGGGGTTAGAGTCTTAGCGCAGGAGAAAGTTTAGGATGCAGCTCAGGAGGAGTGTCAGTGTGTTCGTACTGTTAGGTAGGACCAACCTGCTTCACAGCTGAGGTTGGGGGGGTGGAAACCTGGCCAGTGTAGGAAAAGATCTGATGTTCTTGAGGATCAGAAGTTGAACAGAAGTCAACAACCCCAGGCTATTTAGGAAAAGGCAATTGTCATATTCCAGAGTATAAACCAGGAGTAGATCCCACAGGACATAGGAAGCAACCATTCCTCTTTGCGAAGCGTTTGCAAGGCCTCAGCCGGAGCGAGATGCCCCGTTGTGAGCACCACACGTCGGAGGCAGAGCAGGGTCAGCTGGGAGGACGGGGATGGCAAGATGTATCAGAGCTGGAGGACATGCGTGATGTGTGAGGGGCAACTGAAGAACTCCGAGCTCTTCAGACTCCAAAGGGAGATGTGAAGAGCCGTTTTCAAAACCATAGGTTTCTGTAGTAAGAAATAACCTGTTCACTGTGTCTGTGATGGATAGGAGAGGAAATAGCAGGCTTAAATTGCAGTAAAGGAGACAGGGTGAACAAAGAAGGTAAGTGTAAGCATGGTGAGACGCAGAAATCGATTGCACAGGGGGTCATGGAGTCTCTGCTAGTGAAGGTGTTGAAGATTCAGTTCAGCCGATCAGTTGGGGTGACATAGGCCTGCTTAGTGTGGTTTTGAGGGGACAGGTGCGTAGTTCAGTCTTTCAAATACTTTTCTGTTCCAGATTTTTCTGTGATCCCCTAACACTGTTGTATGTCTGAGTTGTGCACTAGAGACACGGTTCGGTAAGGCAGCAGACGGCTGCAGCGCATGGAATGTAAGAATGTCAACTGAAAATGGGTTTTAAAGCAAAGGGTGAGGAGTATAAAACTGGGATAGAGGACTAGTAATGTCAATAAAATTCAAAAAAATTGAAAAGATAATCAGAAGTTACATGTTATTTCACCATTCCTCTATGCTGCCTTTTTGGTCAGAAGAAAGTAAGTGTGTGAGTTTGAGGCTAAAGGCAATACCAAGTGTCTTGTGGACTTCAAGTGGCTTTTTTGAAGGTTCAGCCTCCAGCAAGTGAATCATCAGGAGTGCTTTGCCCGAGAGAGGGGCAGAGAAGGAAGAATGTTTTCTTCCTTTACGGAATAGCCTGTAGGGCCCTGCTCCATTTTCCTTGAAGAACAGGAGTTGGTTGTATAGGAAGCAGCTGGTACTTGTTGAGAAAACTACACAGGTAAATTACAGAGGAAAAAGAGGAAACCTACAGGACAGCCAATTGATTATTAAAAGGTAAAATAAAAGTGTAACATTGGCATAGTAGGAGGGCCAAAAGACAAAGAAAAGTGGAAGGATGAAAACTGATGCCTGTCCATGTATGCACATAGTCTGAGAGCATCACTTGATGTCTGGGGAGCAAGTATGAAAACGTGGAGGGCTTAGGATATAGTCAGAAAGTAGTTTCATTGAAAGTAGTGATTTATTTGCATTAATAGGTTGGAAAGGATGCATGAGCACAGTATCTGTTCAGGTAAACCAGATAGATAGAAGCAAGCAATAGAAAAAAAAGTTAATGGCAAAAAGATGCTTTGAGGGGAGAAGTGTCAAGGCTCTAGATTTAAGACAATGGGAGAACAGAAAAATAAGTGAAGAACAGATATGATATATGATAATAATGATGCCACCTTGTAAAAATTGCGCTAAGATATCCAGTGTGCCCCTGAATTATACAGTAGAGAGTACACAGAAAAAGGGTTTGGACTACTCATGATATATTTGTTTGAGTACTGTCAACCCTGCTAGTAGACTGGCTCTGGGGCTGCTGCAAGCCCTGTTGTTTACGATTGTTCATCACTCATTGGTCTAGTAGCGAGGCTATGGGTGTGAAAGTCTTCCACACCCCAACCCCATATCCAACAGAAGTGCAAGAGCTGACTGACCTCTGAGATGAGTTTGCCTCAGTATCTGTAAGCTGCTGGCAGCCCCGGAGGAGTGCAGAAGAACACCTCCTTTTAAATGGGCCAGCAGTTTCAACATGGGATTTCACATCAGAGTATTGACGTCCTGACTGGAGCTTTGTGGCTTGCTGTCCTCAAGGACTTCAGTGCGCACCTGAACATCAGCTTTGCTGGGCTAGCTCTTTACTTGGTTGAAGTAATAGTCACCCTGCATTTTACATTGAGTGAGCACTCCTCTCTGGACAGTCAAGAAACACATCTACAGAAAATTTGGTGCATGTTTGACCTCGTGCCAGAGAGGTTGCAGCTCATTTGGTTGCTCAGCTTATTCGTCTTTTAGCATGGAAGCTACCTCATGTCCATAGCAGTACGAGGAGTCAGTGTAAGGATTTGGTGTGATCTCATTCATTTTGAAAAGACCAGTTGAAAATCTGCTAAAACACCCTGCCAGTGGTTGAAATGAAAGCAACTCCCAAGCACATGGGGTTTTGGGGCTTGAAAAAAAAACTGAATCACAGACTGAAAAAAAAGGATGTGCTGAGGCTCCAGCCCAAAACTGATCTTTTTTCCAATAAGGGTTTTAACTGTGTGAACAAAACCTCCTGTCCTCTCAGGCAAAAAATGTCACTTCAATCCAGGGCACTTGAAGGGAGAGTGTGGGAGAGCTGCTACACTTAGCGTGCAATCTCGTCAGCCTGTACCATTTTCCCCCAGTAGGCACTTGCTTGATTTGATTGTAACAGCGAAGATGTAGTGCAGTTTCAAAAGACAGACCAGTCCTGGATTATGTGAGCTCACCAAAGCTGTCGCTTGTGGATCAGACCCCTATTTTTATTGTTCGCTTAAGGCAAATAAGGCATCAGAAGTGCCTTTATTGGCAGTCGTTGCTACATGCCGGGAACCTGCCAAGATTAATATACAAAACATTCCCCTCCCCGCCTCCTGCTTTCAAAAAGTAACCAGCCTAAAAGGGTTATTCAATTACTACCCAGTTGGAAACCTCGTGTTGTCAGAAGTTGTTACTAAGAAGATGGTGGTTATTAACGATGTACCGAGTTGCATGCTTCAGCATATCTTTGGAAATGATACAGAGGTGTTTATTTGCAGATGACTGGTTAATTTTGCTGTGAATCAGTAAGTACTCTGCAGAGAACATATGTAGCAAGTAGCTAGGTGTAATTTATTCATTGTTCCCTTAATTATTCTGTTTTTCTATATTCCATATTGTCAGGTTTTCAGCTACTGTTAGTGATAACAGCAAACTGAAAACCCATGCAGCTGAAGATATAATTTCTTTAGCATATTTCAGATGGGCAGGGGATTCATCTTTTCTTGGAATGAATTGATTTACTGCAACTACTGTCTAATGTAATACTATAGAATAAGTTACAACCTTATAAAAATTTTAAGCACTCCTCTGAGGAAAGCACAGTCAAGTCATTTGCAATATCTGTGTAAAGTTATCTCTGTCTTTTTTGATTGCTGGCATGGAGAGAAAATATCATTTCTAGAAATTCATCATCATTTCAAACAATAAACTGAAACAGCATCAGTTAAAGCTGCTGAAGAAAATCAACAGTGGCACCGCTGAGTTAGAGATGATGGACTAAAATTTCAACATGTTTCCATTTCTTCATATGTTGTAGACTGGCAGCAGTTAATCTCCTAACTAAACATATGCAACCCCCCACCCCCAATTAGTTTACCAGTACAGGTATGATTCAGTTTTTCCCAAGTGCTATTTTGTATGTTGTTATCTATAAAACCTTTTCTTTCCAATGCGAACTTTCTCCATTTTTTCCCAAGTCACAAATTTTTTGTACAGCTATTTGCATTATAAATTTAGAGGCCCAAACATTCTTAGGAATGTAATGTTATTCTGGGACTGTTCCTTGGTCTGCTCTTCTGACAGTTCCACTTTGAAGGAGTTATTGTTTGCTGCCTGACCACTTTCCTAGCCCAGGTGAAGCTGCAAATTCTGCAGGACAAATGTTGATGTTTTTGAGAATCATATTCCATAAATCAGTCAGAATTTGACTCGACATAAAAGCCTGGGAGAGATTGTGTAGTGTGTAAGATAAAAAATAATTCTGATATTAAAGTGATGCCAAACAAATAGAGGCATCCTTTTGCCTGACCTTATGAGTCTCCTGTTAACAGAATACTGTAAAGATTTGGGATATGTCTCGTTAAAAATTTCATTTAGAAAAAAGCTATGCCTTTTTCCCTAAGAAAGTTTGCACTCTGTCGCTCCAAATGTACAATTTGTCCTACTATTTACTGCTCTAATTTGAACTGAATTTATCTTGTAGCTATCCCTTGAACAACAGTGATCTGCATCAGTTCAACATTGAGGAGAATGGCGGAGCACCATACGCCACAAAAATGCCTGCAAGGCACCACCACCACCACCGCCATCACCACCACCACGCAAATTACGGCGCCCTGGCTCCTGACAGCAAAGACATTGTTTCTGGAGTTCCAAACCCAAACAGTGAGTCCACTGCAGTGAATGTCATTTCAGTAACTTTCAGATTTGTCTCTGGCAAGCAGGCAAAGGAAAGGAAAAGAAAACAACACGCATTTCAGTTTTGCTGCTTGAAGAGTATGCTTCCTGTTATTATTTGCTAGCTTTGTACTATGTGTGAATGAGACAAGATTCGCAATTTCCTGGCTTTGCTATGGGGTTGCGGGATTTGGTGTGAGATTGGTGTTCCATAGCTGAACAAATACCCAATTAGTCACAGATGCTGAGTCTCTACCCACTTGGCACAGGCTATGTTTTCATTGTTACTATTTATTTGTATAGTTTCACAAACCTCTCCTTGTCTGCCATTGTCTTTTGCTAATCTGCCCAGCTGGCCTTCAGCCCTAATTGTTTGGATCTGAGTCTTGCTTTCATGTCTGGGCGCAAACAGCAGAAATTTTGGAGTGCTGGACAAAGCCCATCTTGCTCTTAGTCTGGCGAACGGGAACATTTGCTGCTCAGCCCCAGCTACCATGACTCCAGTACACTCACTTGGTGGAGGCATTCTTGGCGTGTAGAAAGCAAAGAGGAGAGAAGCCTATCTGTTCCTGATGCAACCTTGGGGAGTTTGGGTGTAAGTTGCTGCTGCTGAACATGTACAGGCTTTTTTAAGGGTACGTAGCTTGGCCAAATGTTTGTAGGTTTGCACAGGAACTGGAAGAGAAACATCTCTGCCATGAAGCAGTCCTACTTCTTGCTCTCCTTCTTTATAATCTCTGCACACTGCAGTGTGTGAGATGCTGAAGCTGTGTAAGAATTTGAGAAGATGGGCAAAACAATGTATGATCTATCATTTTGCTCGCATCAAGGGGACGATAATTTCTTTCTTTGCCCAATTTTTGCCTTTATAATTGTAAATCACCCTGAGATAGGCATCTGTTATGGAAACTTTCAGCCTGGGCAGTTAATTTGACAACTTGCAAATTCCTGAAACCAGGATCTTCTAATGGATGGCACTGGGTGACGTGGACTGTAGGCTGTCCCACCTCTGCAGTGATGCGCAGGCATGTCCTTGCACACGAACTTTAATCAGGCTTTGTTTCAGAAACATTTTCTTAAATAACTTTCTTTGCCAAGGAGAGGGAGGTAACAGTTTTCAGGAGGGAAGTTGCAGAAATAAAATGCAAGGCATTGTAGACGTTTCAGAAGGGAATCCTAAGCAGCAGTACGAGTTGCTTGCTGGGGCTTTAAGTGAAGCTGCTCCCGTGGGAGCAACCTCCAGGAGATGTGTTGTGCTCCTCTGTCTTTCACCGATCCTACGCTCCCCGCCAGCACACCTTCGTGCTGCGAAGTGCGTGGGGCCGGCACGGCGCACTCCTGTGCCGATGGGTATCCGCATCTCGGCCGTGGTCTGTGGCC